GTCCTTTTCACACAAAACCTCTGGAATCAGCTCACTGCAAAAAAACATCTAGAAATAAGTAAAAAATTACTTAAATTAAGTGTATTTACGCCTAATTTGAGCAGGTAAATAAGATGATCTGCCAATGAAATGAGTATTTTTACTCCTGAAATAAGATAATTAGATAATACTGTATACACTTGAAATAAGACAAAATTGTCTTGTTGCATTGCACTGCAAAAAATCTAAATCTTGATAAGTCATTTTTTCTTAAAATAAGTGCATTTGTTCTTGAATTGAGGAGATCAAAGAAACATTTTGCCAATGGAACAAGACAATTTAGATTTAAAATAAGAAAACACATTTGCATTCTCTTATTTCAAGTGAATACTATCTAATTATCTTATTTTAAGAGTAAAAATACTGATTCCATTGGCAAACTATCTCATTTACCTACTCAAATCAAGAAATTTAAGAAATTTTTACTTATTTCTAGATCGTTTTTCCAGTGTGGCAATGTGTCTCATATACCTCATCAATTCAAGAAAAAATGCTCTTAATTTGAGCAAAAAATACTTATTTAGATTTCCATTTTTCTATGGAGGAAGGTTATAAAGAATTATTACACCTATTGAATGATTTAACAGATGTAGAGATTGTTACATAAAATCTTAACTGCTTTTTTTGGTCACAGTTCCCATAAAAGCCAAAAAAAAACAAACCAATAAAACACCCATTTGGCCATTATTTGAAGACGACCATTTCACTATCTTCAGTGAAATCTTATTTTTTAGAGATTAAATGTTTGGCATATTTCATCCCCAGAACTATTGAGTCATTGGTTGCTAATTAAAAGTTCAAACTCACTTAGATAAAAACAACAACAACATAGTGCTTTAAGAATTTGGGGGTAAAGATAAATTCATCCTGGATTTATTCCCATCTGACAAAAGCACCTAAAGTTCAGATCAATTTATGTTTATATGAGATTATACTGAGGCAATAAAGCGCTGAATTGATTTGAGGCTCTATACTCAGCTTTACAAGCAGCACCAATAAATGTGAAGGGCTCTGTGTGTCATAAATGCCGCCGAATTCTAAGAATCAGAACTAGATTAGATTATGTAAGATTAAGATTTTGATATGATTTAAAAAAATGGTGTAAATATCTAGATAATATTCTCATTGTTTTTTTTTTAATCAGGCTTCAGAATCTAAATTATTTTCTTGTTGGTTCTCTCAGACCGGATATTTAGAATCATTATTGCAAATTTTTAGGCAATGCCAGGATTATCTATCAAATATAAACATGTTGCACATTAGATATTTGAGGAAGAAAATGTTTAAATTTGGTTACATGAGACCGAATGTAAAGGAAAAGGTTGAAAGGATTTAAATTAAAAAGAAAAGCTTTGTCCCAAACTGGTTTAAATGTTTTTTTCTGGTTTTGTTTAGGCCTGGCCTTCTCCCTGCTGGCCTCGTTGCCTCCCAGCTACGGCCTCTACACGGCTTTCTTTCCTGTGCTAACATACTTTTTTCTTGGCACCTCGAGGCATATATCAGTAGGTATGTTGTGCAAAACAAAAAGATGTTTTATTACCACGGTCATCCTTTCTGATTAAGAACTATTCTACCAGAGATAAAAAAGACTTGAAGGTCATTTAACTTGAAGGTCCAATTCCTGGAACTATGTAGACCTTATCAAGTTGACCAGATTAGATCTAAGTTAACTATCTTTTTACACTCTCCCATCTCCACTCTCTCTGAAGGCCCCTTTCCTGTCCTGAGCCTCATGGTGGGAGCGGTGGTGACCCGCCTAGTCCCTGATGAAGGAGCACATGCAAATATTACCGACTTTGAAGGTCTGACCCAGGATCAGCGGAGAGTCCTGGTTGCCTCTTCTATGACTTTCCTCATGGGTATTTTCCAGGTCAGTTGGATCCTCCCTCCATCGTTTTAATCAAATAAATGCATCTATTCTCTAACCTTCCCCTTTCTGCATATTCTGCCTGAATGCAGCTGGCCATGGGTGTCCTGCAGGTGGGCTTCATAGTCGTCTACCTTTCAGAAACTCTGGTCTCCGGCTTTACCACAGCAGCTGCTGTTCACATCTTGGTTTCTCAACTCAAATTCGTTTTGGGTTTGACGGTTCCGGGAATCAGCGGCCCACTTTCTATAATATATGTAAGTTTAATTTAGGTGCAGTATTATGTTACAAGAAACAAATG